ATTAACATGCCTTATCTATGTTATTACACAATGATAAATAGTGAGGAAGTAAGATGTTTCAAACTGTTTGTGTAAGGATTACAAAAACACAGGCTTAATTTAAATGTATTTATTACTAGCGATGCGGCTCAGCTACAGCACTGGTGATTTATTGGATCTCGACAACAGTGCCATCTACCGGGTCCAAATGTAAATATAAACCATCTATGAATCCATCCAAATACACACAAACATTTTCATTGAAATTGGTTGGATGGTTTCTTATGTTTTGTCTATAACGGACATAGGTAGAAACATTTTAGTGTTAGATATATTTCTGAAGGTTTTTTGAAAATAACTTGATGGTAACATGTACATTTATGATATTGTAAGCAATCAGAAGGAATTTTCAATTATAAGAGATATGATGTAAGACTGTTGTCTTCAATATCCATACAATTTTTGTCTCTGCAAGCTTTCAGCCTGCACGGCATACAGATTTGTTCTAAGCGATCCACCTGAAAAGAAGTTAATGACAATTGTAAAGGTGTCTTAACTAAATAATAATTCTTATCAATATATTACTTTTTTCTGTATTATATAGGAATTAAAAGGACATTTTTAATAATAAGAGATATGAGATAAGACTATGCCTTCAATGTCAATAAACTGTATTTACATATTTCTGTAAGCATTTTCTTATATCTGCCTTTTCATATGTTAAATAATAAAGAAATTATTATAAACTATACAGCATTAATCAGCTCCAGCTGATCAAATACAGGAGCAGTAATTACTGATCAACATCTATGATATTCAACCATGTAAAAGTTGTCTCACATTTTATTTTTACTGGTTTCATGTACATAGGAGAAAAAGATATTATTGTTATATTAAGTATATCTGATTCTAGATGACAAAATAATATTCCTTTCTGCACAGTGAACAACACAGCTGTCTAAGCATAATAGATACAACCATTACACTTTTTTATGCAAACTATTAATATTAAACTTATATTTTTTGCTTCTAGTACAAATAATTACATTTTACACATAAATATATTATGTAACATTTATATTGCCTATCTACTATGGCTGGTATAAATCCAGGATCTGTGTCTGGCTTAACGAAAAAGCCATTTAGTATTAAGCAACTTGCTGAATACATAAGGTACCTATTTGTACACAAATGTAGTTATATGAATTGCTCTTCAAAACCCTCTTTAAGTCCCTCGACCCAAAGATTCTAATTTTCTTTTAACATTATAATAAATTATTTTGTGCATTTATTCTATTTATTATGTATTTAATTTAGATTTTACTAATAAAATAAACATAATGCTTTGTCACTTTTAACAAACTAATAAGGTTCTAAGACCTGTTTATTATTTGTATTTATTTTGTTTTAGGTAAAATATATAAACTTAATAATAGATTTTCACAACCTAGAATAGGTGTAAATTAATAAACTCTTATATTCTATTTGCGAATTTTACCACAAAAACTATAAAGAGAAAAACATACGTACGTGTCAATTAATATTTGGCTAACCTTTCTGATAATTGATAATATCCATATTTTCTTAAACATTAGTTTAATAATGCTTGTAAATAAAAACTCCATTTTGTTCTTACCATAATGATGCGCCTCCAACTATGTTTTATTTCACCCGAGTGAATCGAGTGAATTTGTCCAACTCGATAATCGATAGAAAATAAATTTTACCGAGTTACCGAGTTAACTCGGCGCATCGTATGGATTCAGAGGGTGCTATATAGATATTACTTCACTAATTTACTTGTATATATAATAAGTCGCTGCAGGTGACATCACAAGTTGCATCCAAATTCAAACTTGCATCTGGCATGTTGTAAACAAACCTGAATTTAGTTTTATTTATGATATTGATTTATAGTTTTAATTTCACATATTACTTATTTATAAAGGTACATATTTAAAAATTGTTTAACTAAAGTAATCGCTACTCTCAACTCTAGTGATAAACTTTTCTGTAAATAGTTGATTTACTCAAAAACTAGTGTACAACTAGAATGATATACATACATACTCGTAAATTAACCTGAGTGGCTCGAGTCACAAAACTCTACTCGAATCGCATCTTTATCTTACGGCCAATGCAGTGTTTGTCTACAATTTAGTGATTAAATCGACTTACTAATTCGAGCAATTTATTAATATATTATGTTATAAATAAATTGATATTAGGTAATATGTATATAATGTTGTATCAATTTATGTTATACATAATATAAATTGATTATATATACTTTGGATAGTCAAATTATTAATAACATTAAGACTTACGTCATAACGTTAGAGTGATATTATTTTATGAAGATATCGATACGCATACCAAAAATAATATATAACTACCTATTAAGTGTAGTAATAATAATTGTGTTGTATGGAAGAACAATTATAAAAATAATTTGTGACATATTGACACAGCTTCGTTCATCTAATTTGAATTGTTTAACTCGAGCTCAAAATCGAGTTACCTGAATTTCAACTCGATTCGATTTCTTCCGAGTTATCACGGCACATCTCTAAGACAATAATTTTTTAAATATTACATTACCTAAGCCAATGATCAGAACACGAATGTCAAAACAACTAATTTTTTTTTCAGATTTCTTGTTTCCGTTTACATTTTCGAAAAATTTATTGGCCATTTACTATTATAATTTGCTGTCTTTTTTTGGTGTAAATACCATTAAACGACGTTAATATTTCTAGTGGGCCCAAAAATGATTGTCTCCTTTAACTGATATAATATTGGATGAAGGTTTTGTGGGTTTTTTGTTTTTTTAAAGGTTTATCTAGTGTTTTTCTAGTCGTTGCAAAAGAAAAGAAACTTAATATAATAATTACTAGTCGTACTCGTAGTACTGACGAGAAACTTAAATGCTGGTTTTCTTTTCCAGAACAACCAAACAAGCCATATGTAGTGGTAGTGCCATAGTAAAACATATTCAAGAACATCTATCTTATTGTTGTTGTAAGTTGATGTCTTGTACCCGGCACTAGCGCCATCTAGTGTCGAGGAACAGAGCGAGGAGGGCTTCGTAGAAAATGCCAATCTTGAATTTTTCACCAACAGCGCCATCTCGGCGCCCGTATTTGCTGGAATATTCTGGATGTTTTGGTGGAAGAGCCCTATATAAAGCGGTTGATAGCCGCGATCGGCGCAGTATTGAATTTGGCGAGACAAGCGAAGTTTCGGAGCGAAATAAAGTGAATCAGTGTGATTAATTATTAGTGTTTAGTTTTAATTGTTGTTCGGTAATAAAAGTGTAAATTTTGGTAATTCAATCGGGAGTTTTTATTGAACGAACCCTAAGCTCGTAACAGTTGGTGTCAGAAGTGGGATAAAATCATGTCGATTTTACCTAAGGACGAAATGGAGGGTGTCCGCACCCGAAATCAACGCCAGCGGGAGTCCGCACCCGAAATCAACGCCAGCGGGAGACGCACCATAGACGATTTGGTGGTGCAACACCGCAAACGTCAGAGAGCCAACTGCCAGCTACGGAGGCTGGCCCGTCAGCCCCTACACCTGCAGCACCTGACTTAGGTGCTCTGATGGTGATGCTGCAGGAGCAGGCCCGCAGACAGGAGGAACAAGCCCGCCGAAAGGAGGAACAGGTCCGTCGGTTAGAAGAGCAGTTGTGGGGTGGACAGGAGGAACAGGCCCGCCGGCAGGAGAAACAGACCCGCCGGCAGGAGGAACAGGCCCGCCGGCAGGAGGAACAGGTCCGCCGGCAAGAGGAACAGGCCCGGGAGAGGAAGGAAGAGCAGATGCTCCTCATGAAAACCTTCACGCTACCTTTACGGTTTAAGACATTTATTTCTCAAGAAGAATACAATTCACTTATCATGAGAAATAACAAGTTAATAATTAGATACTAAATACATAAACTTATGAAGAACGGCAGGTACTTGTAAATGATCTGTTAAGTAGTGGACAGGCACAATCTTGTTACTTGTTTCGTGTACTACATATCGTTATTGAAAGAAAGTCTATAGCAATTACACATAGTTCATATTTGCAAGCAATTTAGATGGTATTTTTATGTTAACGGTTATATTTTAAATAATTGGTAAAATCAAATTATTTAAAGAAATAATATTAGCTTTTTGAATAAGTTATTGGTATTTAAAATCGAGAAAAATCTAAAAATCTTATAAGATAATTATCTAAGCGTTTATATAATATTTTCTCGGAAATTTTAGAGATAATTGGGAGAACTGAGAAAGGGCTATAATTGCCTGGGTCGGTCTTTTTTTCCTGATTTAAAAATTGGACTCACTTTTGCTACTTTAACTCTTAGATGCACAAGTTCTACTTTTTTTTAAAAAATATTTTTTTTTTTTAAATATAGCTTACTGTGGACACATAAATCATCAGAAAAATAAAATAAAAAATCTAGCTACGAAGGCTTTTGAGGAAAACGGTGGTCGCTGTGCTTACCACCATGCAAGTTATTAGATTTAAAAAAAAACAACAAATAGTAATTTAGACGCCAATTTTATTTTAATCTCTCTATTTATTCTTATGAAATTTAGCAAAACAATTTTTGGTTGATTTTATGCATACAAGTGTCACATTCCCAAGCTGTTCTTACAGGTTTTGCTTTCGTGCTGCACAAAGCGCATCGACGGGAAGTAGTAGACCTTGCTTGATGTTTTTTACCTTCTAGGCGTACCAAGTGTGGTACATAAAGTTTATGCTGTTTAATTGTAATAGGAAGACTGTCTTTTGATATTCGTTTTCTGGTTTCAGGCTCTTTCATAAGTTCCAGATATATTTCTCTCCTAAAGTCTTTGTGGGTCATAATTTTTGATGTTGTATTTTCTGCTAAATTTTTATATGCAACCAGATCTTTATGCACAATGTAAGCATTGACGACGCAATAGTCCAAAAATGAAAAGAAAATTCTGTGCCACCACTTAGTAGACCGCCTATCTAAACCATAATTTTCTTTTAGTTGGTCAAACTTATCCACAAAATTTCATATTTGAATTGTAGTCCTTCAGCAGTTTAGGACAAGGTATGTCTATAAAAGAGCCGTCCTTTTCTCTTCTTTGGGCTATATCAACATCATTTGGATCATGCATATTTGATAAGAAATATACTGTCCTATTATCCTTCCACTTCAAATATAATATATTCTCATTACTCATGCGCCAATCAAAATCACCTCTTTTCATTGCGTTATCTTCTTTCAATTCCGGTAAAAACTTTCTTGTATTATTTACTGTGCCACAGGCCATTATTTTTCTCAACTTAAGTTCATGTTGTAACACATAACTATGAAAATAGTTGTCGAAGTAAAACTTGTAGTTTTTACTTTGTAAATCTTGTGTGAAATCTAACACCACTCTAGCGCCCAAATTCTTTTCAACTTTTTCAGCCTTTCCGGTATAAACGTCAAATTTTAGACAATATCCTGAACTCGCACACAACATCCATACCTTATATCCCCGCTTTACAAGTTTCTTTGGCATGTACTGCTTGAGGTAACTTCTGCCTTTAAATTTTATCATGCTTTCATCTATAGCCATGTTTTCGGTAGGCCGATAATTTTTCTCAAATGTGTTTTTTAATGTATCTAGCAAAGGCCGAACTCTACATAGTTTGTCATAACTTGGGCTATTTCTTGCTGGAATAAACTGATTATCATTTACGTGCAAATGTGAGAGTAACCATCCAAATCGGTTTACAGGCATAAACTTTGAAATAAACGGATCATGTAGATCAGGACATGAGGACCAGTAGTCTCTATAGGCGGGCAGTTTCTTAATACCCATGTTTAGGTTTATACCTAAAAAAGTACTCATTTCTTCCCTACTTACTGGCTTTGCTAATGTCTTTCCCTCCTGTTGGGCATACAAATTTGTTTGATAAACTAAATGCTCTAACAAACTGTCAGGCCAAAACAATTTAAATAATGTAGCAGGTGTTGGATCCTGCAGTTGAGATATGTGAGTAGGTAAGCTTGTATCTGTATTAAATTGTTCTGGTGGAGATGCAGCACGTACCCTGTGTCTCCACTAGGTTCATATATTGTCTAGATTTCGAATAGATGAAGTATCAGCAGGCTCAAATACTAAATCCCTCGTCCTTCTAGAGGATGAAACCTTACCAGGAACAGTGGTTTTCATCAATAGTGACTGGACTCCACTAGAAACCTCGTTCGAAACTTCTTCTTGAGCTGGTACGTCTATTATATCGGATGGGTTGGCTGACCTCTGGATATCTGACAGAGGCATGTCAAATTCAGGATCTTCGTCATCGTCAATCTCTGCAGCAACTACTATGGGAATCTGAATAGGAGACTCCTCATCTTCATCTTCAGAGATACTGGAACCTTCAGAAGGTATATCTGCCAGGATTGACATGATCAGATTCGCATCGCGTTCTAAGTTCTTGAACGAACATAAAATATTATTTTAGATGATAAAATTAATTAATAAATCAAAAGAAACAAAAAAGAAAATCAATAAAGTTATTTAAATTTAAATAGCACTACTTGCACGGTGGTAAATATTCTAACCACGGAGTAATTGCTTCCGAAAGTGCGGGAAAATAACCTTTCTTACAATAAAAATTATTGTTACTACAGTAAAAACACAGTAAACTAATAGAAAATAGTAAAGTACAATCAAACTTACCATGATTTTCAAAAAATAACCGTAACTAAATACACAGCAAAACAGAAAAAGTTGTCGCACACTTTACGATTCACGAATACTGCTAGCGAGCGCCACTTAGAGCACATAACTATGAATAAAAACAAAGGATAACACCTCGCCTTGTGTTTCTGAAGCTAGTTCTGCTGTTTGACGCTAGATGACGATAAAATAACATTTTGATCCAAGTGGTAAAAAAAATCGACCACCATGCCCCAAAGAGTTAAGAGGATCGGGGAAGAATCCGTTTTGTAAATAATGGTTGATATTCATTGTTAATTTGTGTAAAATTAAATTTTTGAAGCATTTTATGGTTTTGCAACTAATTCCGTCTAAGCCCGTGCTAGTGTTTGGATTAAGTTTATCTATAATTTTACCTACTTCCTCTTTCGTAGTTGGAGTTAGATAGAGCAGTTCGTATGTACTAGAATTAGCCGTTTGAGAGCTAGGCTGTGTAAGTGGTTTTTCCTTATGCATTTTAATTTTATTTGCTAAAATACAACCTATAGTAGCAAAGAAAGTATTGAGATAATTACATATTTCTTTAACATCTGTAATTGGACCCATTTGTGTATCTAGTTTTATAGGAGCAGAGCACGACTTTGTTTTGTTACCAGCTAAGTTACCGATCAGCTTCCACATCTTTAAAAGTTTTCTTTCACAGTTTTTAAAGGCTTTGTAATAGTAGTTATTTTCAGTACTCTGAATTTGCTCAGTCACGGTATTTCGTAGGGCAATAAAGTCTTTTCTTATTGATTCTGATTTTTTTTTTTGTAAATGGACCACAGCTGATTTCTTTTGGTTATCATTTTAATTATGTCTTTATTAATCCAGTCTGATTTAAATGCCTTTTGAATTTTGAATTTCGGTATTTTATGTTTATTTACTGCTTCTTTTATTATATGTCCTAGGCTATTGTAGTCATTATCGGATATTTTCATTATTGTACTTTCTACTTTAGAGTATATAGTTGTATAATCTAAGGTATGATACTTTACTCTCTTTTTCGTTTTCGGTTTATAATCGCCAATTTCTAAATATATTTGCTTGTCGTCTGACATTATAGTCATATGGAATTTATGATTTTTCAAATTGGAATGCATGGTCAAGAATTGATTTTTTTGTCGGTGTATCACGGGTACTAAATTTTGCATCAATTTTGTTTAGGATTATGTGTCCATTTTCTAACAATATATTTGTATAGTTATTAATTGATTGGTTAGGATTGAGCAGATCGTAGTTAAAATCGCCAAACACCAAAGCTCTTTGCCTCCTTATCAGCTGCTGTGAGTATTCCTCCGAAAACCCATTGTTGTTTGATTTTGGAGTTTTATATATAGCTCCAATGGCCAACAAGTGTTTATCTAAATGAACCCATAAGTAGTGATTATCCTCTTTACAAAGATCTTCTATGTAATTGTGTTTTAAGCAGTCGTGGACAAATATGGATACTTCACCTCCTCTGGCATTTTCTCTTATGTTATAATAATGGGTGTAGTTTGGTAACTTTAAACTTTTGGCTTCAGATTCTGACTTGATCCAAGTTTCTGATAGTATAATTACATGCACAAGACTGTTTATGTTATATTGTAAAATGCAATTTAATTCATGGAGTTTTCCTGGCTTCACTATACTTCGTGCATTAGCGTAGAGAAATTTTAAGGATTTGGTGTTTTTTATTAGGTTAGTGTATGAATCAGTTTCTTCATGAGTAGTGTTTGGCGATGTGTCGTCTGTATTTTGCATTGTTAGTTTTTTGGCTGGATTTTAGTAATTTTAGGTGTACCTTTGACATATTTTATAGTAAGGTTTTTTCACCTCCATCTAGTCGCCGTTTCAGTTCGTCTCTCAAATTACTTCGATACTTTTGTTGATAGGGTGTCTCATCAGAGTAGATTTTAATATTGTCAGTTGGACCTTTTGCGTAGAATTGATTTTGCTACTTCTCTTTTCCTCGAGGACAGGAGTAGCAGTTGACGCTCGCCGCTCACTTAAGTATGTTGACATATATCAATAACGACCTAGGTTGCGTAAATAAGTTATTATTAAATAAGAACTTGTGTAAAGAGCACTTGGTTTCACTTTTCTTTAAATCACTATTATTACTTTTATAAAATTATCGTCGACATGTCCGTACCGTAAGCTTCCTAAGTACGTTCTTTGGAAAAGAGATAAGGGAGGTGAAAGATAAGGTTGCTCAACATAACCACCGCCTGTCGGAAGCTGAAACTCAAATCAACGAAGTGAAGAAAACGCTGGACAAACTCAAACTTGGGGATGGAAATACAGCTCCCGTAGTAGCTACTACACCGCTACGTGGGTTCGAAGTGCCGCCGTTCGACGGGACTTCTTCCTGGTCGGCCTATAAAATCCAGTTCGGGGCTGTCATGAAAGCGAACGGCTTAGATAGAAAGTCAGGCCATGACTGCTCTCACGCTGGGTCTGCGTGACCAGGCCTTAACTGTTCTGGAAGCCCTCGGTAAGAAAGTGACATACGAGCAGGTCCTTTAGGCATTGGTGGCGAGATATGGTGACGCTCACCTGGAACACGTCTTTCGTGCGCAGCTTAAAGCTCGCGTGCAGCGCATCAACGAAAACCTGCAGCAGTGGGCTCTTGAGGCGGAGAAGCTGGTGCGAAAAGCATACCGGTCTGTACCTGCGCTCATTGAAGAGAACCTGGTACAGACATTCATCGACGGCATCCGCGACCTTGACGTCAGAGCTGCTGTGAGGCTCGGGCACCACGAGACGCTTAAGGACACCTTGGCCCATGCACTTGAGGTTGAAGCCGTGCGGCAGGATCATTGTTCCCATCACGTCAGGGAGGTTGCAGAACCTACAGTTCGCGACCGTAATAATGGATACAGCCCTAGGTGCTATGGCTGTGGAGAAAGGGGCCATCTTCGACCCAGCTGCCCTAAGCGATCTGTAAAAAGGGAAGGTGATCGATCTCGAAAGGGTAGTGTGGCCTACAGCACCGCCCAGCAGCAGCAGGAATACGACTTTACTATCGGACACTGCAGCGGGAATTGGCATGGTAACAGAGATGCATCGTCAAGAAGTCCTTATCCTGATGATTGCAAGAACAGTACTAGGCAAGAGGGTAAGGAAGTGGTATCTGTGAGGATGCTCAGGACAGACCACCTCAGCAACGAGTGGAAGGACAGCTTACAACATGCACAGCAGGAAGATCCGGACATCAAGCCGATTCTGGAATGGATGAAGGCCCGTGCTACCAAGCCCAAGTGGAGCGATGTCTCAGCGATGAGTTCGACCACTAAAAGCTATTAGGTCCATTGGGACCGCATGCTGATTCAGGATGGAGTCATGTGCCGTAAATGAGAAAATGGTCGAGGAAACAGCTGTCGCTTGCAAATGGTTGTCCCTAAAGCTAAAGTGCCGAATGTTCTACAGCTGTACCATAATGGTTGTTCAGGAGTCCATCTGGGAGTTAAACGGACTTTACTGAAGATCCGAGAACGGTTTTACTGGGTCCATTACAATGACGATGTCGAGGATTGGTGTCGCAAATGTACAAGCCGCGGCTGTGAAGGGACTTCAGACTCGTAGTAGAGGAGCATTAAAATTTTACAATGTTGGTGCACCATTGAATAGGACAGCCCTTGACGTTGCGGAGCCGTTTCGGAAAGGTGCAAGAGGTACTCCTAAGATCGTTCATGTGGATCGACTGGCGCGTTATTATGGAGCCGATAATGCTAGGGACGAGCATATCTTAGAAAGGGGCAGTGTTGCGCGCCTAAGTTGATATCTTGTACCTGGCACTAGCGCCATCTAGTGTCGGGGAACAGAGCGAGGAGGGCTTCCTAGAAAATGCCAATCTTGAACTTTCCACCAACAGCGCCATCTAGTATCGAAAACAGAAGAATTAAGCTTTCTAGAAGGGTCCACTCTCGAACTTTCTGCGCCTGGTCGGTCGGCAACCGTATTTGCTGGAATATTCTGGATGTTTTGGTGGAAGAGCCCTATATAAAGCCGTTGATAGCCGCGATCGGGGCAGTATTGAATTTGGCGAAACAAGCGAAGCTTCGGAGCGAAATAAAGTAAATCAGTGTGATTAATTATTAGTGTTTAAAGTTTTAATTGGTGTTAGTTAATAA